CTTTAGATGAAGATATTAGCAGAAGACTGAATTATGTGGACAGTAGTGGGTTCTGCTTTCTATGGCGGAGTGCCTACTAAGCAAGAGGACCTCTTGCTCTGGTGACCCTGGCTGGTGAGGATTAGAATTAGAGCAATAACTGCTCTGAGTACTTCACGCATGTAGTCACCACAAGCATCTTATGAAGTTGGTATTTTTACAGTCCTTCTGTGTGGTATATTGTCACGATGGTCACAAACATTGTCCTCTCATTCCGGTCTCACACCCATACCCCTTACCTGTATCCTCCCTTCAAAAGCCAGGATCTGTTTCTCTTTCCCTAGAACCCGATGTGGCCATTGTGGGATCTGCTATATAAGCAATGGGGCAATAGGAGAGGAGACTAAACATGAACTTTAGACCTTGCACCTTGAGACTTGGTTTCTCTCCCTGCATTTGAGCCCTGAGGCCTTCTTCAGTGCAGGTATGGGTGAGCTTCCTCCTGAGCCTCCACAGTGCAGTTTCTGTAAGTTCCTCCTCAGTCCCAGAAGGGAGTCACCCTCTCTCTGACCCATTCCTCAGTCTGCCTCCTGTTTAGCCACTTCCTTCACCTCCCCAGGTTACTAAAAGGCAGTGTCAGTGGAAGAGGCAGTGTCTTGGAAGGCAGTGTCTAAAAGGCAGTGTCAATGGAAGAGGATCAGTTACTGCAATCGTTGAATCTTGGAGTGTGGACTCCCCAGTTTCTGGCAAAGGTACTGGGCCCCAGCATCTGTTAACATGTTGAAGTTCAGGTCCAGGTTGATCAGGCTGTGGTTGGTGCTGACACTGATGGAAAGGTCCTTGCAGCACTCAGCTGTGAGGCCACAGCAGGCCAACCGACGGCAGACACACATTCGTGACCTTAAGTGTCTCACTGTTGGGTTCAAAAAACACCCACACAACTACTGAGCACCTGCTGTTGGCCATACCTGTGTGAGCCATGTGCAGGTTAATAAGATCCCCCTCATCTCCAGGACCCCAGAAATGCTACTGTGGGGCTAGGCATAGCAACAAATAATAGCAAGTCGGTTTTTAAAATCAAAATCTTCCAAAGTTGTCCTACATTACTCAGAGTAAAGTTCATTGTCCTCCTCCTTGTCCATAGGGCCTTGGTAATCTGATTCCTTGATATTTCCAACCTCATCACTTTTCCTTTGTAGCTCCATCATCCCTGGTCTCTTTCCTGTTTGTTAACCATCTCAGGACCTGTGTATCTGCTACTGCTTCCGCTTAGAACAATCTGGCCTGATGTCTCATGGTTGGTTCCCTCACACCTACTTCAGATCTTTGCTGAAAGGTAAATCACCTGGTGAAGTCTTGCCTCACCAACCTTTCTATTCAGTACTGTACATCTAGCCCTAGACTTCTAGCTGCTTCTTTGTACTTTACATTTCCTACAGTGCAGATCACATACATTTTACTTCAGGGGGGTTGCTTTTTGTCTTTTCTCCTCTTCAGAATGTAAATGCCATGAGGAATGAGTTTTGCCTGTTTTTGTCATTGTAAGACGTTAGGATCTTGTTTAGGTCAGTGATGAGCCTAGGACAGTCCTTGAAGAGAGATGTCCAGTCACACTTGCGTTAGTTTGGAAGATTCCCCAAGAGTGAGTGGATGCTCCTGGTGGGGCAAGGCAGGAAGCAGGTGACTCTCCCTGCTCTCCCACAGCAGGGACAGCCATGGTTGTGGGGAGATACTTTGGGACACTCAATGGTACTTGGTGATTCTTTACACGTGGGGTTCAGGGAAGCTTGAAGATTGGATAGATATGGAGTTAGGATTCCTGCCACTTACTGAGAATGTAGGTCTAAGAGGAGGCAGAGTCAGCTTTCTAAGCCTATGACCAGTGTAATTGTCACTCAGGGCCTGCCTTTTAATGCTTGTGGTTGCAGCTGGATTATTAATGGCTGCAAGTATACATTTGAAAATAATTTTATCTTTGAATTTTGTTTTGGAAGCAGAACCTCAGCTATGTACGATCCCATCTCTAGCCACTTCCCTTCATCTTCTGCCACCCACTTCCCCGTCTTCTGGTGTCATGGGCTCCACCCAGCCTCTTGTTCAGCCCGGTGACCACTTTTTCCCTGTGTACCTGGTCAGTGTCCAGATCGCATGTGAGGAGGACCAGGTGGAACATCTAGCACCGTGGCACACATTGTGACTTAGTGAGAGCAATTCTTTCACTTGGTGCTGATCTGATATATCCTGCACCCTGGCAATACGGGTGGGGGATGTGTTCTTTCATCCGCTATGGATCAAGATGTTAGGTTCATGGCAATATTGGCGCTGTCTGACTTAACTTTTCTACCTACTCGGAGGCTTAATGCACAATGGACCCGTTACATTTGTGAGGGGCAACCTGGCATTTGTGGCTGTGTACATAAGCTGAGATGTGGGCAGTGGCCCTAGACACCGGCAGGGGTCTGCATACACCCTACTAGTTAGTATTCTGGTGCTTGAGAAGTGCAACTTTAAATAGAAAATTAATATCTTCATCATGTTTTGAGAGAAACACCATCATAGGTGAAAGAAAGAAAGCTTAAGAGCTTAGTACCATTGACAGCAGTTTTATTTTAACTGAGGAGCACGGATACTGCAATTTCATTTTGTACTGTATTTTGTAGTTGTTCCTGAGAGGGAAGTCTGGTTGTGTGTGCATCTGCACATGGAGGCTTGGCACAGACCCCTGTGGAGGGAGCACAGGGTAAGACCGCAGGAGGGAGCTGTTTGGAGGAGCAGGAGGCTGAAGGTGGGGAGCGGCTGTGATTCTCTGGCTTGGATGTCAAAGACACCACCCCCCAACCATTACCACCACACATGCAATTCAAAGTTCCTGTCTCTTTGTTCCCACAAGACCTCCTTCAACCCATATTGTTTTTTTTTCTGGTGTCACTGGATTTCCTTATCCAGCTGGGAATCCATGATCAGCTGTATCAAAGAGGTTTCCCACAGCTGGCGTTTAGAGTCCCCATGGCCTTGGACACTTCTTCCCAGATCACCTGTGTCTTCCTGCTCAGATCCCAATCCTGAGCTTCAGAGTGTGACCCAAGAAATCACAGGTCCAGCTGGCACAAATCCCTATGACACAGCTTCCTGTGTGCCACCTCTCACCTCGCACAACTTACAGTCAGAGCTGTTTCCCAGAGGCACACTCCCTGCCAGTCAGTTCTCCCTGAATGATAGCTTCCCTCCAGTAGGCTCATCTCATTTTCTGACTACTGACATGTCTATTTCCATTGGGCATTTTCTTGCCCCAGGACTCATCTCAGCACACACAACTGGGTCTCTTTTGTGGCTTTATTCATCCCAGGGACTGACCATTATAAGATGTACTATATGGATTCCCTTTCCTTAAATCATAAGTTTTAGCTCCACTGAGGAGCGCTGACCTGAGACTTCAGGGAAGAGGCTCCGGGTATCTCACTGGGGCTGGTGGAGGGGTAGATAAGGGCTCTGGAGCCAGGTAGACTTGGGCACAGATCTTGCCTCTGTGGGTTACTAGTTGAAGATTACAAGCAAGTGTCTTTATTTGACCAATGCAAAGATCAATCCCTCATCATATACCCACTTTCTGCCTTCAATCCACCTTCCCAGCTCTGCTCCAGAGGAGAATCCAGGTAGACTCACCGTAAGGCCTCGAGGTAGCAGCGAGGTTCTCTCAGGGTCTCACAAAGACCCTGCACAGCAAAGAAACTCAGTGGATTTCCACTTAGATCCAGCTCCTTCAGACTTCTAGTGTCCCCAAGAATGGAGCAGAAAACTTGCCAAATGGCATTCGTGAGTGGGGACCACTTGGACGTGAAGGAGAGAGAATGACCTTCATGTTCAGGGGCTGGGGTGCACAGTCCTACAGCATGGAGTGGGACTCTGTCCTCCTGAGCCCCAGGCTGGCATGGCAGTGCTATCCCCAGGACAGACTCAGCTTTTCACCTGCCCCCCTGGTCCTCACCTGGGCCACACAACCCTCCACTGCGAGGCTCTTTATTCTACAGCCCTTGGCAGACTGTAGGGATACGTTCATTTTCTGTGTCTATTTCTGTCTCATCTGGCAGTTTCTTGAGGGCAGGGGCAGATAGTTTTTTTATGTGAAGTACTTTGCACAGGGCCTGGCATAGAGGAGGAACTTGGACGTTTGATAGTCTTCCTCCTGTCAATGTAGATATACCTGTCTGCCTTTGGCACACAATTCTAGCTCCAGAAATCAGAAAGGAAAAGGACATGGGAGGTATGAACAGAACCCAGGAGAGGTGTCTGGAGGATTTTGTGACAGGATGTTGGATAGGATCACACACGATGCAGTGCATGTGGATAATATAGGCCCCTACCCCTTCTCAAGAACAGAAAGACAGCAAAGAGGAGTGTTCTTGGAGAGAATCCCTGTGGCCTGAATGAGAAGGGTGGATGGGCTTTCCGTGAGAGTGCTTGAGTAGACTCAGCCCTGTGTGATTCCACCCACATAATTTCTTTATGTCTGAACACGAATTTAGTGAGCTCATCTGCTGCCAGGCTTCAATTACTTATTCTCTGTTCCAAACTTCCCAGTTATATTTCCAGGTTTTTGCCAGATATCTCTACTTTGATACCTCACTAACGCTTTTACCGATTATGTCCCAATATATCCCGAGTATGCAAGACCATGCAGAGGTGAGCAAACAAGGCTTTGGAACCAGCTGCCTGTGTGAGAGGCAACCTTGCCTGTGCATTGCCCAGTATCCTCAGCTGTAAAAACATGGCAGCAATAATACCTGCTGCCTCAGAGGTTTTGTGAGGATTCCATAACATGTTAGGGTCTCCCAAAGTCCTAGCACACTTCTAAGGTTTAACATATTCAGTAGTGTAAATGATACACGTACCTCAAAAAAGACTTACGACGGTCAATGCTGACTGAAACACAGAGCCAAAAATGTACTATTTAAATTTCACAAAACTGTAATGAATTTAAAGGAAATCAAATATAGTAATGAAACTTTCAAAGGATGGCTTATTCCACATTTTCTTTTGTATTTATTGGTACTGCAGCTTGAACCCAGGGCCTCATGGAAGTGACAGAGTGCTTTACAGAGTGCTTTACCACTAAGCTAGATGCTCAGGCTTTTTTATTTTTCTAAGACAAGGTTTCTTTAAGCAGCCTAGGGTGGCCTCACATTTGCATCCCCCTATCTCATCCTCCTCATAGCTGGGGTTACAGGCATGCTCCACCACGACTGGCCTCGTGACTTATTTGATGCATGTGTATGTTCGCAATGGATGAAAGAAGAAATAAAAAATTTATTATTGAAAATACATGAAGTGAAATGTAAGTCAGATACCCAGAAGCTGGTTGTCCTTTCACCTCATTGCCTTACTGTCTCTGCTTGGTCCTCCTTTCCTTTCTCAAAGCCCTGGTCAGTCTTCACCATTTCTTCCTGGACTTTTGGCTTGTGCACAGAAGCTTCCTTACTGCGCCCCCTGCCTTCCTGGCTGACTAGGTGCCTCTACCTGTCCTTCACCACTTGCAGTAGGAACCTGTAACTTTCCCACGGCATTCTTTCCAGGCTGCAGTTGCCACTGTCATTCCAAATGCTCCGCTCTGCCACGGTGTCACTTCATCCTCTTGCCCTAGTCTACCCTCTGCCTCCATGCCTGCTCAGCGCTCTTCAGAAAGACCCATGTCAGGCCCCTGCCACTTGCGGTGCCTATTTGCAGGTCCTTCAAGGCCAACATCATGTGTACAGTCATAAAAACTAGAAACAACCTAAATGCGCAGGAAGAAGGAAATGGTCAAATCAGCCATATTCTCTCCCTAGAGAATATCATATGGTCATTAAGATTGACCCACATTTTTTTCGTTTTGTTTTTTGCAGTAGTGGGGATTGAACCCAAGGTTTTCACACTGAGATACATTCCCAGTGCTTTTCTTTCTTTATTTTTTTTTTTAAATTTGAAAGATGATCTTGCTAAATTGTTAAGTTGCCCAGGCTGGTCTCAAACTTGCAATCCTTCTGCCTCATTCTCTCCTCCTGAATTCTAGGATTATTGGTGTGCTGTGTGCCACCACTCCTGGCTAAATCAGTCTTCTTAATAATAAGAACCTTGATATATTAGGAAAACAAAGTTGACCATTAGATAACATGTATAACATGGTTCAATTTTTCCTATAGGAAAGTACATAGAAAAAACTAGAAATATATACCTCAGTTCTTAATAATGGTCATTTTTGAGTAAGGGAATTCTGATTGATACCAATTTTCATTTTTTTTTAGCTTAAATATATTTTCTTAATATTTAAACAACAGACATGGGTTTTAAAAAATTTTTTTAGTTTTTATTTTTTACGGTTTTTCTCCGGTACTGGGAACCAAACTCACGACCTTGCACTTGCCAGGCAGGCGCTTTTGCCGCTGAGCTAAATCCCCAGCCCCGACATGGGTTTTATCATGTCAAAATCTTTAAAAATCTAAGAATAGAAGACCTAAAGAAAGAAAATATTTCTTCCTCTAAGAGTTTCCCATTTTCCAGTCTACTTGAGTGATCATTCCCTTCCTTGGGCCACTGTGATAGCCTACCTACATTTCTGTTCTCTATTGCCATAATTGGATGTATATCTATCTTCTTTTCTAGTCTTTGATCTCTTTAGGGCAAGGACTGTGTTTTTTCTTTAATTTGTAATTTATAGCCCTTGACATAAAATCAGTGCTTTTATGTTTTCTTTGCTGAGGTCTAAACCCAGGCCCAGGCAAGCACTCTACCACCGAGCCACATCTCCAGTCCAAAATCAGTACTAATGAATATTTATGGAAAAAAATCAAATAAAGGGGGAAACAGACTCACAGTGAACAATGAAAACTGCAATATAGGCAGAGAACCTGGGAAGGAAAGTTTACAGTGTTGCTGGGATTGCAGTGGTTTTTAAAAGCTACTCTCTCACACAAGCAAGAATATAAGTTTTGTAGGAAAAAAAATAGGGGACTGTCTGTCAGACATATGCATCTCGAAATGATGGGTGAAGATCTCAGGACCAATGTCATTGTCAATGAGTGGTGTTGAAGCAGGTGAATGAGTTCCTTCTCAGGTGAAGAAAGAAGAGCAGTGGAAGGAGATTCCCTGATCTATGGAGAGGGTGGAGCCAATGTGAAGGTCAGTGTGAAGGTCATTGTGTTACCAGCTGAGAAGACAGGCAGTGTTCACAGAGGCAGGGGCAGAGGCAGTAGGATGAACAGGGTTCTGTAACATGGTGTAGCCCTCTGAGGTTTGCAAGTAGGTAGAGAATGGCAGTTGGATTGGGCAGTTAACACTCACTGGTGACCTCCACACTTTACCTTTGGACCAGGCCAAGTCAGAGTGCCTCTGTGCTCGGGACATGGGGACTTGTGAGACTGAAAGAGAAGCAGAAAGCAGGGCTTCTCAGGATACTCACATAGCTTCCTCAGGGCACCACAGTGCTTGTGCCTGATGTCCGACATCACGCAACTGAAGCTGCTTCACATGGCTACAGAATTTAACACAGCAAGTGAACTCCAGGAGCTCCACGTTTGTCTGGATACACATACTTGTTCCTTGGAAGCGGGCCATCGCCAATTTCAGGAGCTCTTCATCCCGAGACTCATACAAACAGTGAAAGAAGTCCAGAGAGTATGGTGACTGTGTTGGGGCCTTTGACAGGGCCCACTGCAACAGCTGCCACTTCCACTTAGAAGGCAATCTGCAGGAGAAGATCTTCTCCGTTTGCTTAGTCCCCTGCTTGCTTAAAAGGCCAAACAGAAAGTGCAAGGTTGGTGTCCGAAACAGGTCATGGCTTCCATATACTTCTAGCAACTTTACCATATAGTTGAGGAAATTGGAATGTTCTTGTCTTTCATCCTCACTCCCCAAGGCAAAGGACACTGCTGCAAAAAACTCCTGGAAATGCCTGTGAGTGAAGCTGCATGTTAAAGACCTGTGGTGCTCTTGAAGAAAACCCATCTTCAAGAAAGTGGTGGTGATGGCCTCACCTAACTGGTGCTTCTCAAGGCCACACGTCCTGAACATGGTCTCTCTTCTCCAGATGCCTTCGGCAGCCAGAAAGCAGAAGGCCCTGAGCTGCATCTTACGTGGCTGAGCTGGGAAAGCCTGGGAAAGGTAGTACAGGCAGAGGGCTGTGGTGGCCTGAGAGGTCAGTGGGCATTCATCCCCCTGCTCCATCTGCTGCTTCAGGCAGGTGCAGACCAGCCGGCAGACCCAGGGCACGAGACACAGGGTAAAGAGCGCTGAGTTTGAGCACACCAAGTTAAAGGCTCTAATTGCTTGCCTTTCATCTGTGAAGTATTTGTAGAAGTATTCTTTCCTTCCAGACTCAGAAAAGCCAAGAATTTCCACCCAACATGGCTGTGTCAAAGGAGGAATGAAGTTCTGTACTGCTGTGGTCCGAGTTGTAATGAGAAAGGAAGCCCCGGAAGTATGGTTGTCCTCAGCAAACTACCCAGCAGTTCAGGCAGTTGCAGTGGCACACTCCAATGCTGACAGAGCCCAGAATTTGGATCCTCTAGGACCCATGCTGGCTCATCCACACCATCCAAGATGAAGAGGAGCTGCTCTGGCTGAGATAGAATTTGCCTAATGGGAGTTTTCCAGTGAGCTCAGCCAGACTCATTACCTTATGCCTGGCCAGCTCTCTGCAGTTGAAGTAGAAGACATGTTGGAAGCGGTCCCTATAGAGCTGGCCCTGCTCCTAGGCTAATTCCCAATTCCAGCAGCTCCATAGAGTATGACTGTGTGAGGTTCTTTATGGGTACCTTGGCCTGAGCTAAATAAGTCTTTGATCTCAATGTAATGTCCTTGCTTTTTCACAGCATCGTGAAACCAGCTTTCCTTGAAAAGGGGTTCTTGGCCTCTGAGGTCATGTATTTTGTGCATTTCATTTGTTTTTTCTTGTTTTTTGTTTTTTTGGCCCTGTTGGGGAGAGGATTGATCTACTGAGATATGCCTTGTGTCCAATTTTTCCATTTTTTTATTTTGACATAGGGTCTTGCTAAGCTGTCCAGATTGGCTTTGAACTTCTGATCCTCTTGGCTTAGCCTTTTGGTAGTTGGGATTTCAGTCTTGTGCCACTGAGGCTGGATAGGGTGATACTTTTGTAGAAGTATCAGCTGTGAAAAATGTTGGCTCAAATTCTCCTTTTTCCAGGAGTGGGTGAGGCAGGGCTTCTCTCTCTCGTTCCCATACCTTTTTGGGCTATTTATCAAAGGGAGATAAAGATGGAATTTAATTGTACAGAATAAAGTTGCAATTACTCATTCACTCAATAACTAAGCAGATTTATGTGTCTACTGAAAGTCTGTTGATAGTGATATGTCTGGGCCTGTGAAGTGGATGGAACATAAGATTTGGACTAGAAAATTTTGGCTCAAGTCTTGACTAAGTCACACACTCTATGATTTTCCTTAATTATTCAAATATTTAGAAAGAGACTCAGTGCCAGAGACTGAGAACAAAGATGGAACAAACAGACACAATTCTCTGCCCTCATTAAACCCGTGACTTGGGCTGTTAGCCCCACTGAGTCTCGGTTTTCTCATCTGTACCTTGGGTATTGTGACACCTCCTCATCTTTCCCTTCCTAATATTTTGAATGCATCTCACTTGTCTTCTTAGGTGAATAGTAGAGATAATGGAGATGACTCATTAGGAATGTTGAAACCCAGTTCATCCTGAGGTAGCTGGGGCAGGGGGATTCATAGAGTACAAGGTTCCTCCCTGTGTTACCATTGCAAGGAGGCTTAAGAAAATTGTGTTAGAGTATGGAATGTTCAATCAATTCTCACCTTGTGAGACTTTGGCTTCACAGGGCTGCTTACCTCTGAAACCATAATAGATAGATCTGTTTTTATTGGCTACCATGGAAATAAGTCTGGTAATGTAAACATTAGAATTGCAGCCCAGGGCCACAACCACACTCTGCATGCTCAGGTTATATCTGCCTAATGTGCTAAGATAACACTTAGTTCTCCTGGTATCACTTTCTCCAAACTCTCCTAATTTTCTTAAATCTGTGACCATGCACATATCTAAATCTTTTTAAATCCAGTATACATAAAATTTTTGCTTCCTTTCTTGAATCCTATGATATGGGTGTTAATAGTCTTATTTTTAAAGCCATGTGTAATAAATACATTTCTTAGGAGCTTGTCTAAAACTTCTTCAGGGGAGTACAGTGAGCATTGGGAAGAAAGATTTTGATAAACCACTTAGGGAAGACTGAGTCCCGCATTTCAAGTAACTGTGAAGAGTTATATATAGCTACATAAGGACAAAAATGATGGTCATGCTTTATTACCAGACAGTTTTCTAGGCACTGGAATTCAGGCTACAAAAGTTGGGGAGCAGAAGGTAAGTGCTTTGTGTGGTACATAAGGAAAGATCTGTAAATTTGGGTTTAGAAGACCTTATGGACAATCTTCTTAAAAGAAGAGCATTATCTCCATTTTGGCTAAACTTGGCCCTATTTCCATGTATTGATAAATACAGAGCTGGCTAGGACTTTTCCTTGTCCCTTGCATTGGCTCTAAGCAATGCAAATCAGTTCAGCGGAGGTGATGATATGTAGTCTTTGAAGTAAGGTGACAAGGCAGTGTTTTCCTGCCCTGTTAACTCTCAAAAAAAAAAAAGAATAAAAAGAGGAAGCCAAGGTGGGAGTGCACCACAAGCCTTGAGATAAGAGGCTATGACTTCCCAGGGCATAAAAGTTTACACATCAGAGCTGAGGCACAGACCCCAAAACATTAGATACTATCTCAGTTTTGTTATGCAGATTACTCTTTCTTGTTATGCATATCCTTCTCTCTGCATATTGCAGAGGTGATTTCAGGCCTCCTACCTAGCCCAGCTCTCAGCACTCACATACTTCATGCCATTCTCACAGTCACTCATCCTCAACCCACTCCCTTCTTCACGAATTAACAAAACTGGGTTCGGCCCTGGGTGGAGGTCTTTGTTCCAGTTAGCTATCATATTAGTGGAACTTAGGACCCCTTGTCACTCCATAACTACAAATATGTCTTAGTGTCAACCCATCTTGCCATGGGTTGCACTGGATGTGGTAGATTGGAATTAACTCACTAGAATTCCAGTAACTTTTTCATTGGATTGCAAATACAAACTTCCTGGGCTGCAACAAGGACCAGGAAGGGCTCCCTATAGTTGGGTAATGCAGAAGGAAAGTCAAGAGAAAAGATGTCAGTAGAGGACTAACAGGGACTTTTGTGAGGAGAGAGATGTGAACATCTCTGTGTCTTCAGGTGAGTGTTCACATAGAATTTTGTAAAACTTGATCTTTTCTGTGGAGGTTGTAAAAGCACAAATTCTGTGTCATAGAGGAGGAAGTAGCAAAAAGAACGAAAATTGAGTAGCATGACTGCTCAGAAAAGGAAAATGAGACATAGAGGATAGAGTGACTTGTTCCAGTCACTCAACAGGTGAGTGAAGTCAAGTGAAATTTCAGGGCAGTGCAGTAACCACCATTACCAGGGCTTGGAGGTTGGGGTGCTGAGAGTAGGCACAGAAGAAAGGTGAAGAGGAAGGGTGTAGTGGTACTTTCAGAAAGCAGAAGCAGGGTGGAGGAGGAAATGACTTCTCCAGGCATGAAGAATTGTAGATTTTCTATCCCTGCTTGTACCTCTAGGTGTTTTTGAGCTACTTTCTCTAGGCCTACTGCAGTAGCAAGAGGTAGCCCCTTTGATGGGAGCATGGTAGATGAAGAGGAGCTGTGTCTGGAGATGCTGAGGTTTATAGTCTGGATGACTCAGATGGCAAAGACTAAAATAAGAGAAATCAAGAAGGGAAGTGGCTGGTTCAAGGATGAACCCAGACTACTTTTTGGAGCTTCTGGACCACTTTGACCCCAGGGGTCATCAGTGATGACCAGGGTTATGAGCTGAGCCTGGGCCCCAGTTAGGTGAAACTCACTGCAGGACCTGTAGTGAGTTTCTCCATCTGTCAAATGATAAATGGAGTAGTCTCAGCACAGGAAGGTCCCTGAAGATCATTTCAAACCCATTCCTGCTTCTTTATTCTTCTCTACAGTGTCCCACCTCAGTCCCATTGCAGATATACCCTTATCTGTGAGGACTCATTGGCTGACCCACAGCCCTACCCAGGGCTCTCAGCCGGATGCAAGTCTCACCTTGTCTACTGTGTTTAGATGTATCCAGCAGTGGTTCACAAAACTTTCTTTTTCCATTTAGAGGGTCCTCCAGGTATTCATAACTGCAGAGATTCAGCTTTGTTAATGTGGGTAGGGCATGGGACACCTTTTTTAGTGTAATTGGGGAGCTCAAGGATGAAGGAAATGTAGCTTAGGTATAAGACAGAAAGGTTACGGGCTTGTCAGATGGGCTGGAACAGGATTCAGATGACTGAGACTGGGTTTCGTCACATTGATGAGATCCCCAGTCTAAGCCAACAGATATCTGGAAAAGCCTGGCAGCCCTCTGCATCCTTGAACAATTTCCTTCACAGACTCATCCAGAGAATGAGGCTCTCACAGACAGCACTAGGCAAAATGTCTTGATTCCAAGTCCAGGAAATTTGTGGACCTGTTCCATTTTTGCACTACTTCTCTGTGTAAGTTACCACTCCTTCCTGAGTCTCAGCTCTTTTATAGGGCTATAAGCTTCTGCCTACCAGGGTTCCAAACAGTAATAATAGCAGCAGCTGCTACAGTAGCAAGAGCTCAGATGTCTAACATGATGTATTTCTTTTAACTTGTACGAAATGCAAGCCCTTATGCTTCCACTTTCAGAGTAAGCAATGGAGGTAGAATGGTGAAGTAACTCACTCAGGGTGGTGGATTGACCTGCTTGTGTCCAGCTCTCAAGTCTGCACTCACAACTACAATGCTAGGCAAGTGCTGCTTTTGGGAGCTGGGCTTGAAACCCATGTCCGTTCCCCTCAGTGCCCTTCTAAACATCAGCTTCTCCCCTTTCCAGCCTTGGCAGTGTGAAGACTACACGGGCACCCGGGAGTGCACTTGAATAAAAGACATAGTACTAATTTAGCATGGTCTCCCAGCAAGCTTCCCAGATCCAACATTGGCTGGGCCCTAGATCTTCCCTGGACAAGGCAGTCCCAATTACCACTGTATGGCCCGGTTGAGGTGGGGTTCAGTGGTGGTGGTGGGAACCACAGTGGTTGGGGGTGGAGGCTTTTTTCTACTCATTGACATCAACGCCACTTCTTCCTGGGCCTCAGAGCATGGCACACTCAGACCCGCCTGCTTCTAAGTTTTGAGGGTCAGGTCCCAGGCCTGATACTCACCATACTGAGCCACCATGTGAGGCCATCTCTGAGGCACTCATCTTCTCTGATTCAGCTGGTATTGGACTAGAAGAGCTCCTGAAGTGTGGTGAGTTGGGTGGTTGAAGGAAGATCAAGTCACAGGGCAGGAGATCCTGGACTTCACTGACCAGGGAATATTCCTTGGGAATATTCATGGGATCAGGGATGAGTGAGTGGGTAGAGAAGGGCATCAGGCAGGCAGAGTAATGGGGACTCTCTTTGCTTTGGTCTCTACCATCTCCCAAAGGAAAACTCACTAGTATCAATTCTCTTGGCTTAGTAAATGAGGTAGCTTTCAGAAGGCTGTTTTGTAAGCCCTGGAACATCTATTGCTTGATAATATTGGGAAGAGTGAGGGGAAGGAAAGTGGTATGAAGGCATAAAAGAGAGGAGCCCTGATGGGACCAGGAGAAACTAGAAGTCCATTTATGTACTGGGGCTGGACCCAGGGCTAGCAGGAAAGCTGATGAAAAGAGGGCAATGGGAATATGGAAAGACAGAAACATGCAGAAATGGGGTTGAGTTACACTCACGGTTCTGTGTTCCTTGGATTCTTCCATTGCCTGGGATGTGGTCTCTTAGAATATAACCCTTGAACCATACAACTGACTGGGGGTGAGGCAGAGGATACATACAATGCAGGTGGTGGGGCTCAGAGCCCAAAACCGAGC